GCACACCCTAAGACAGTTCACTATAGTCTAACCAGTTAGGTGGTAAAGCCACAAAAAGCACTGCACTAGAGGGGAGTTCTGATGATTCTTCCGCACGATGCGCTTTCCAGTGCTCTTCTTGTGATCCCTCTGAGCAGTTTTGTCCGCCGGTATTTTTGTGGCCTCCTGTAAAGTCCCATTTAAAACAACTCTGGCTCCACAAGAAAGCGTGACGCTCATCAAGACTTGGCGGTAGCGTCCATGGAATAAGTACAGCACGCGCAGACATACACGACTGTTCGATCGTCGCAAGCGACAGATCTGGGACTGGCACCTTTGTCTTCATAAGTAGGAGCACACTTTCCGAAAACGGAACGTCACTAGATTAGGTTAGTCAAGGTTGGGTAACGACTTCCAGGGTGGCACTGTTATGGAGTGTTGTTAGTGCTCGATATTTTGCTTCACTATCTAGAGGTTAAGCCTTTCTTGCCTCACGACTGAAGTCTGAGGATATTCGCTTTGAATCCACGCTCGTTTCTGCCAAGACCCTACTACCGTTTAATCATATGTTGTGGCCATGTCGAACATTGTATTACTATAAACATATCATCCCACTTTTCAGGCTACCCACCCTTCTGTTCACCCGACGCCCATGAGACCTACCGGAAGGTCATGAACTGGCAGGAGACCCTCGTTTTTCCTCCCGAGGTGCCAATCAGCGCAACAGCGCATAACCTCATTACCCTCTTTTGCACGGACGCCGAGAAACGTCTGGGCGCGGTGGGCGGTTTGGAGGAGATTCGTAAACATCCCTTCTTCGCTGGGGTTGACTGGAAGAACATTCGGGAGCGACCAGCAGCCATCCCTGTGCAAATACGCTCCATCGACGACACAAGCAACTTTGACGAATTTCCCAATGAGGATCTCAGTTGGCGTAAGTACACATACACAACCACCCACTTTTACTACGCTCAGGAATCGTTCTGCGCGTGAGCCAATACCATCTTACCGTGAGACTACCTGTCAGACAGTCGTAGGGTTGGGGGTAGGGTGTGGTAAAGATGGTGGTGCTGGTGGTGCCTCCATCATTTTGGTTTCACGCCCTGTTGTGTCCCGGTTATCCTCTTTCTTTGCGAACCTTCCCAGCAGCGAGGTCTAGCTAACTGTAACACGGCTGCAAATACATGCATACGACACGACAGTTCGACCGTTGCCCTGAGCGATT